TTTCGGAAACATCGTGTACCTACAAAAATATATTATTAGTAGTACTCACTTTACTGATCCAGTGATCCCTATCATTTTTGAGTCACGGCGATCGCCAGTACGTGTCTAAATGAACTGGACGGGCTCGGGGTTATACTTGCAATAACACAAATTAATTTATTGTATAGTGTATAGGTAGTATTAGTATGTATGCCTATAGATAACAAATTGGGTTATGAAAATTCAATAATATTTTCCGAAAAAGAYACATAATATTTTGGCCCAGTTATACACAGTGAATTTGTTGAAAAGTGAGGTATACAGAAAAAAAACCAAAATCATAATTTAATCAGAGAATTAAATATTAATAGAATCACAAAATGTACCTAGCTAATATAATAATGTAATCTATTTGCTCTCATAAATATTATAAATTATATAAATTTATTATGCCTACATTTAAATATAATATACATAATTATATATTATTATTTTTGTCCAATTAATTACAAAAACATTTATTTATTTTTCCAGTTTATAAAGCTACTATAAGTATTATAATATGATATATAATTGAGGGAATATGATAAAATCATAAAAATACACTATTGATCATTGTGCTGTCTGTGACTTTACTGCATTATGTTCTTGTGTCTTGATTTTTGCAAAGTTTTTTTTCAAAGTTCTGGATTCAATATATTGTAATGGAAATTGTTAAATCAAATAAGGGTTCAAATAAGATTTTTTTTTATTTAAATAAATAGCCTCGGCGTTTATGGCAGTTTAAGGTTAACAATTTGTAAGAATACAGTTTTCATATATCATCTYGTATATTATATAAACAATAACAGATTATAAACTATTTATAAAATTGGTTTTAATTAAAAAGGTTATCGTGTGGCTGATGGTATCTGGATGGAAAGCTTCCGACATGATATTTGATACCCCAGCTTTCAGATAAGACTTGTCACAAAGGTTATATGTATACTTTAAAATATGCCAGAATACAATATTATACATGAAGAATGAAGATATACCAAAAAAAGTTCACTCAATTGTCCTGCTATTCTGAGAACTTCAATTATTAAAAGCAATCCTGTGGTTACAACGTCTMATGAGCATCTAGTTGAACCGTTGCAAGTAAAAGTGACTAAAGTTATTGYTCAAATTAAAATTAAAGATTCTCATCCCAGTGAGAATCCGTCTCAGATTTATGTATAAATTATATTCCGTGATTACATTGTCATTTTGGTTTTTTTTCCGTTGGTTTTTTTCTCCATTAGTTTTTATTTTTTGTTTTTTTCCATTGATTTTTTTCCCGGGATTTGAAAATATAATATAATTATTAATTATAATATAATATGAATATGAATATAATAAATATATTATTATATATTAAGAGATTAAAATATAGCAATAAATAATAATATAGTCCTTATGAAAATTGAAACCTAATATGAACATACATATGTATAACTTATTGCCTATTCCATCTCCTTAAAAAAACAACAATAATAATATACTTTTGATGAAAACTACCGTAATAAGTTTGTTGAGTATTTCAGTAATATTCAGTAGACCACTATTACAACTATTACAAAGTCATAATCTTGTGTGTTAAAAGTGTGAAGTGAATTCACTCATTTTTTTATTTGGAATGCTTTTTAAAACAAATAATTGATCATAAATGTTATAATTTTAAAAATAGTTATTAATATTATTGGCACCTAAGCGTCCTAAGCATTGTTTGTTTTCCGATAAATATTATTTTTCATTATATACCCAACTATTCGAATACGAACAARTAGCCAATAGTTGATATTATTAAGATCTGATACCTGTTATTTTCTTCCAAAAATGAGGGCAAAAGTTTCATCTATTTGACTACTTCAGATCGATCTCTGAATTGTTGCAACARTCGTTTTATTAGTTATTGGAATTTGGATTATTATTTTTATTGTATACTTATTTAATTATTATTAATATTTATTTGTATTGAATATTATTAATACTTGTATAACTTAAAGACTATACTTTTTGTTGACTGACTATATATTATATAGAAGCACATTCAACCGAATCGCGGAAAAATGCCCACGGAAAAAAAAACTCCCGGAAAAAAAGCCCATGGAAAAAAAACCCATGGAAAAAAAACCCATAGAAAAGAAATTACCAAGGAAAAAAAGCCCATGGAAAAAAACCCACAGAAAAAAATCCCTTCGAAAAAATGAAAATGAAAAATAAATTAATACATCTATATTTAATATAATTATTATATCATTTTTTTTTTATTTTTAATCTAGTTTATACAATCTGTAAATAAAAAAAAAGTACAATAAGCATAAATGATGTTGTTTTTTTAAAATTATTATATATGTAGTATCTTTAGGGAAGAACCAACCAGCAAAGGCACTTTGGGAAATTATATAATTATATAAATATAAGTTTGCAATATAATATGAGTGTTTGTTATTTGTTCAAGTTTAATCTTGGTGGTTTTATACAAGGGGGATGGAATCACAATACACCCAATTATGTTTTATTAATTACACATTTGYCAGTTATTATATTTATATAGTTTGAATATTATGTACTGTTTTATCACAAAATAAAATAACTATGTGATTGTATTATGATAGGTATTTGAGTTAATCAACAAAATAATATAAAACACACTTTTATTTTAGTGGGTTTTTTTTCCGTGGGTTTTTTTTCGTTGGATTTTTTTTGGGGTTTTTTTCCGTGGTCATTTATTCCGCCTACCCATTCAACCATAATACCTAGGTATTCTTAGTAGCTRGAAAAAAGTGCCCAGTAGCATTATACTAACGATTGATGGGCACGTCAAATTTACATGATTTATAAGAATATTGTTTTTTAAATTACATAATAATGATATCGATTAAACTGAATGAAAAAATATTARAAATGTTCAACATTTTTATCTTAAAAACATTATCTATTGCAATCGAAATAATTTTATCATCTTAAATATTGTATAACTTACCTATAGTATAATTATAAAAACACGTATCAATCTATTTACGACGATTATAAGATGTATATGAGATCTACTATCTTATACCGGAGCTTAAATAAATAATAACTAATTGCAATCATGATTAATTGCGATTACACATTGATCACGTTTA